TATTTTCGGAATGCCTCATTTCCACTTTATTATCGCTTTCTGGCCCCTTGGATGTTATCACACTTGATAACATCCAAGGGGACTTTGCTACACAGAAACTACGTTCTTGTGGTTGAAAGCTATAAGGAGATTATCACTTCTAACAACTGAGCACAATTGTGTTTTATAGCCAGTATTGTATAACTATGGATTATTGCTAGAGGTGACCTAACTACCCTAAAGGCACCAAATCCCATCCGATCTTCAAAGCTAAATAAGGTCAGCCCTGGCTAGTACTTGGATGGGAGATCACCAACCAGTCCCAAGTGCTATAGACTACATTCCAGAGGAAGGAACTGGCAAAACCACCTCTGAATATTCTTTGCCTAAGAAAACCCTATGAAATTTATTATTATTATTATTATTATTATTATTATTATTATTATTTATATCCCACCCCTCTGCAGCACAATCGAGGCAGCTTACAACAGTTGAAAATACTGTTGTATCCTAACCCACCCTCTCCTTAAAACAATATTAAACTAGTTAAGATTAAAACATAAAATAGAATAAATTCATTGGGTTGCCATAAGTCAGTAGGTGACTTGAAGGTGGTGGTGGGGAAAGATACATGAATATTTCTTAACTTTGCCTGCCAGGAAATGCATTCCATGTAGAAAAATATCACAATTCAAGCCATTCACAAGATCCGAACTCTAGAGGATAAAACAGCACTATCAAATTGTTTGTATAATTGTGGTTTAGGAAGGAAGGAAGAAAAATAATAAAATATAAAACAGCTACATAGTTAAGGAAATCCAAACCAATATTAATAAAACAACCTGCTTCCTACTGTTAGTATGATTAAGGATTTTAAGCAGATGTCATTTTTGGAAGATTTGCCCACCTTTCTCTTCTTGCAGTATTAACTGAGGAAAATGTTCATGTTTTAATGGCTAGGGAATTCGTTTTTATCACTGGTGAATCATGAAAGGCTTAATAAATGCTTAATAAATTAATACGTTGCTTAATAAATGGCTGTTGATGAAAGAAATCCGAAAAACAGTCTTGTGAACATGCATGCTTTCACTTAGAGTTTTGCAACCATGAGAAAATAGTCATTATAAATTACACTTCTTTCAATGCTTTTGTCAGGGTGTATATACAGCCATCCCTTCTGATTCATGGGAGATCCATTCTGGAACCATCACCTCCCACAAATCAGGAAAATCACCAATATTGGAGCCCCATTCATTACAATAGGGGGTGGTCCTGTTTGCGGCGCTGCATATGTGCCTCAAACACACACACCATTATGTCCTTCTCGGCTTGCTATCCACAAAGGATCAAGACCATGGATGGCAAGACTACAAATCGGGAAGGATGACTGTACTAAAAAATACACCAACTCACCTCTCAGCATGAGCAGATCGCCACAAAGAGATGTTTTGATTTGCCCCGATGTTCTCACTGATTCAGAGAGAAAAATATTTTTAAAAAATATTGGGTGGATAGAAATATTTACATAGATTAAAGTCACCACCCTAAATATATGTTTAAAAGTAGTTGCTTATAGAACCATCTCATACATTTATCATCCAGAAACGTAGTGGATGCACCTCCACATTTGGTGCAGTAAGGTGACTGTTTGTGTGTCCCACAGTGTAAGTATGATTGAAAGTATGACCCAGCCCATAAAACTCTAAACCTAGTTCCAACCTAAACTTTTCCAAACAGGATTGTGATATCTAGAGTGTCACACGAGCATGTAGACACCTCTGCACACTTCACACTGAGGAAGCCTTATAAAAATAAACCCACCAAGATGACTAGTTTACTAAAATATTTACTAGCCTACTGGAAGTTGGCAAAGGAGGGACAGAGAGTTTTCTCTCTCTTCTACAACAACCTTGCATATTTCAATCCTGGGCATAGTGGAAGGCAATGGCAGCTGGTCTCTCCTATGACAGTGAAGATAGATAAATCTGCTCTGAGTTTGTCTTAACTTTAAATGAACGATTCAAGGGGTTGAACGCAATCCCTAAAATAGTAATTTTCTGAGTGCTGGATAGGTCACTAACATCAGAAATTGAGGGTACCACATTGTTGGACAAAACATCAGTTAGTTTTGAAAAAGGGGCTGGCTTTCACTTAACCAGGGCTTCATCTGCACTACAGAAATAATGTAGTTTGATACCATTTTAACTGTCATGGCTCCATGTTATGGAATCCTGGGATTTGTAGTTTATCATGACACCAGAGCTCTCTGACAGAGGAGGCTAAATATTGCACAAAACTACAAATCTCAGAATTGCACAGCATTCAGCCATGGTAGTTAAAGCGGTATCAAACTGCATTATTTCTGCAGTGTAGATGTAGCCCAGGTCTTGTAAGAATGAATTGTATCGCTCCATTTGGATCAAGTGGATTCCCCACCCCAGTACTTCCATCTCCTTTGAACTATATTTTTGTTTGTTTGCCCTCATTTATCCAAAGCCTGGCTGCAGAATCTTGTTTAACATTTTCACAAATGAGTGTCATCTTCATTCTGGTGGCAATAACTCAAACCTCCAGATGACTTCTTCCAATAGCTATCATGTAGATGTTAAATTGTATGCAGGACAAGGCACAATGTTGTCATGCTTCCATATTCTAAAGCCATTCTTCAAGAAAGGACTGGAGTCACTGCATTGCCTTATCTCCCAGATTCAGCCCAGTCTCCATTTTAGATGATATTGAAGGCTGCTAAAAGATCCAAAAGAATAATCAGGATTGGACTCCCTGCATCTAGCTTCAAGCAAGTGTCGCATGTCAGGGAACAAAAGCTATTTCTGGCCCAAAACCAGGCCAGAATTTGGACTGGAATAGATCCAGATAATTACAGCTGACCTTACAAAGCATAGGCTGTTCCTCTGCAACACAGAAAACAAGGGATTAAAAGAGCATGTCAGTTGACTGAAGCAGGGGTTACTTATGGAAGCAACAAGGGGATGGCAATGTTATTTTTTAAAATAGGTTGACATCTTCAATAACTGTATTCAATAAGTAATGCCATTACTTTAGCAATCTAAAATTCTGCTTTCCAGGGGACATTTGCTCATTTTTTAAAAAAAATTAAATGTATTTTTTTAAAAATTAAAACTGACTAAAGAAAGTTAGGGAGCCAGTGTAACATAGTGGTTTGAGGATTGGACTACGACTCTGGGAACCAGAGTCTGAATCTCGGCTTGGCCATGAAACCTGCTGGGTGACCTTGGGCAAGTCACACTATCTCAGCCTCAGAGGATGGCAATGGTAAACCTCCTCTGAAGAAACATGTGAAGAAAACCCCATGGTAAGCTTGCCTTAGGGTTGCCTTAAGTCAGAAACGAAGGCACACACCAACAAACAACAAAGAAAGTTAACACATTCATACCATTTTCTTCGGTATTAAGATGTCTTTAAATATATTATTTTTAAATTAATGAGCAATGAGTAAAGGCAACATGTTATAAGGGGGAGAAAAGAAAGAAAGTAACAAGTAATGAATTGGTTGGGTGTGTATGTGTGTAATAATATTCCAAGCTCTGTTCCGAAGAAGTTCACAGAATCTTGGATGAATTCTCTCTTCCTATATAATAATTATCCATACCTCCTTTATTGAGCCTAGTGCATTCATTATGGCCTGATTTTGGAAAGCACATTGAGCATAGATTGGAAAAGTAGCTGCCAAGAGGAAAGCCCCTGGGCTAGCTTCCATGTATAGATCTGGGTGTCTCGGGACAAATGAAAAGCATTGCGTGCTGGACTCCTACTAACTGCTTCCTCAGAAAAGAACACTCTGTAACCTCGGTGCCTGCAGCCAGCCAGAACTGTACAAAAAGCATTGGTATTTCATAATACCAACAATAGTGGGTATATTTTTAGTTTCTGCCCTAGGGTATCAACTGAAAGAAAGGCTGTGTGGTACAGACATCATGTTTTTTAAGTCAAAAGAAGAAAACAAATGAGACAAAACAATACTCCAGCTTTTATTTCTGATACAATGAGAGGGGGTTACAATACTCCAGCTTTCATTTCTGATATTTGATGGGATCCCAAGTGAAAGGTATCTGTGAGTTATATAGCCAAAGAGCCAGCCTGATCCTGAAACAATGGAAAATAATCTGCTTCATGTGGCAGATTGAAACGGGATGTCATTTTCCTGACTCTAAGCTCCATCTCTGCATTTCATTTTTTTTTTAAAAAAAAGAAGTTTCAATCTGCGTGTGTAGGTATGCATATCATTTGGATTTCTCACTTCAAGTTCAAAAAAAGATCAAAAGCTAACGGGGATGAGCCTCAATCGGCTTAGGACCCCCACACATGCGTAAGCGTGATGTAGGACCAGATCTTTGTGCTTATCCACTCACACATACATAAGGTGAGCTACATATAATGCACAGTTCCTCAACTATTTCACTTTAGATAAAAGTGCTGTGAGAGAAGCAGAAACTGGGAGCTCCTTTCAAGCCTAAGGGGTCACAATCTTGTTTATGAAGGGTCTCGGGGCCATATCTTAACAGTGGCTGAAACAGAGGGCAGAAGAACAAAATGAACAGGAGATGTAAACAAATCTTGCTCAGTACAACTGCCTTCTTGTTGTTGTGTGCCTTCAAGTAATTTCCAACTTATAGCAACCTTAAACCAAACCTATCACAGGATTTTCTGGGGCTGAGAGTATGTGACTTGCCCAAGGTCACCCAATGGGTTTCCATGGCAGAGTGGGGAATCAAACCCTAGTCTCCAGAGTGATAGTCCAACACCCAGACCACTACACCACACTGAGTCTTGCCAGCCTGTAAACCTCAGCTCCTGTTCCTTGGAAAACCTTCTCTGTTTAGCTTTACATGTATTCAGAGCTAACATATGGGATATCCTGCTGCATGGGATGATGACCGTTTCTATACTGTAAAAAAGCAAAAGCAGAACAATCACAACTTTCTGTATTTGTATTTGAGCATGCACAGTGAAAAAAGTAAATATAATATTATGAAAGCAAAGGATTTAAAAAAATCTTTTGTCCAAATGTTCTGAAATCAGGATGATCCATTGCTATTCTAGGGAAATTTGATATTAAGTCTTTCCAAAAGCTTGCAAATAGGAACAAATTACACATACCATTTAAAAAAAGAGAGATTTAAGTAGAGTATTATCTTCAATCTGAAAGCATTACCAAAGTAGGTCAGCTGTGCTTCAGTTCACAGGTGTCCATGCAATGTAACACAGTTACTATAAAGGCATTTTCACTGAAAACAGGACAGAGATATCAGGCCACTGGGAGCATATTAAGACTAGCAAAACCTATTAGGTAGAGGAGGAAATTCTCCAAAATTCTGATGTACATTCCATTGGCAAATATGTTTACAAAACAGCTCAGTAATGCTAACTTTTTGTTTCCTTTTTTGACACACTGGTTCTGAAACATCAACTGGAAAAGGCTGATCAAAAACTAGATAATCTTCAATCTGTTTTGGAGTATCCACATCACAGTGAATGCTATGAATTTACAAAGCTTGGGAATGGACATTTATTTATTTACAGCTCTAGCCAGTACCCACACAGGCTATGGTAGTCTAAGAAGTGTGCCTCCACCTTATGCTCAACTATTACAGCTGGCCTTTGGTATCTGCTGGGGTTTGGTTCCAGGGCCCCCATTGAATACAATGGCTAATAAAATGGTGTCCCTTATATAAAATAGCAAAATCTAGGTGTGTTTTGTGTAATGTATATATTTTTAAAATATTTTCAAACTGTGGATGCTTGAATCTGTGGATAAAGAATCTGTGAATATGGATGACCTACTGTATATCTGTGAATTAATGTAAAAAATACAAAGTGGCAGGAATTGCTGTGACCAGTTTCCAAAGGACACTGAAACCTAAGTGAGCACTATTCCTCTGAAACATTTCACTACTCTGAGGCACACATATGACACATAACCATGCTCTTTTAGCCAAAATCTTGCCAAAAAACATCTTCAAAGACATACTTTTTTGCCACATTTTCTGAGGCATGGGCAAGTTGCAATTGAGTATGCAGAAGGTAGATCACATACAGATCACTAATGATATTTTCCCCCTTTTCAGCAGATTGGTTCTGAAGTATCAGCTGGAAAAGACTGACCAAAAACTAAATTATCTTCAATCTATTTCAGAGCATCCTTCCCCAGCCTGCTGCCCACCCCACTCCCACTCCTTACTCTTACTTTCTGTCAGTATCATCTTGTAGTTGCCTGGCATTTTCTCTTTTCTTTTTGATCAATGTCTTAACAGAAGACGTTCCAATCCCACTAATCTCAAAAGAGCAACAAAATGGGAGGCCTATCAAATCTCATTTTCAGCTTGAACTAAGAATCAGAAAGGTGAAGGGAGAAGGAGTGAGAGATTTGGGAACAGAATGGTTGCTACAAAGGAGAAAATTGGAGCTGCATCAGAATATTGAAAAAGCAGTGATTTTCCATGGCAGAAACTATATTTATAGTTTCAGGGTGATGGAGGGAGTAGGGAAGACAAGGTATAGGATTTCTGGTCAACAACACTGACTAAAGAGAGAAATCTACTCACTAACTGCACTCTACTTCATTTGTTCTTTTTGACAAATACTTGCCAATTATAAATGCAGCCTGTGCAAACTTTCTTGAGCTGTGAAAACAGTAACTGCTGCTGTCAAACAGGACTGGTTTCAGAGGAACCTTGGAGACCAGGGTTTGAATCCCACCTCAACCATGTAAATTCGCTTGGTGACCTTGGGCAAGTCACACTCTGCCTCAGGATGAAAATGGCAAACCACTTCTGAAGAAACTGGCCAAGAAAACCCCATGATAGGGTCGCCATAAGTTGAAAAGGACTTGAAGTCATGCAACAACCACAGCAAATCAGGGAGGTAGCAAAAGCATACAACTCTAGATGTCCCATGTTCTCAAAAAGACCAAAGATGTTCTTGAAAGACCAAAGAGCCATCTTGGATACCATTTTGGAAGAAAGGTGGGATATAAATCTAATAAATAAAAGATAAAATGGCAACCAGTCATAGAAAATTGGTTTCATCCAAGATCACTTGAAGTTGAAAGGCGACAACTTGCCCGATCACCTTGCTCAAAAATGTTAGATGAGAAACCCGTCTATAATTTTTCAGATCCAGGGGGTCCAGGGAAGGTTTCTTCAGGAGCGGTCTAACAACTGCTTCCTTTAAACATGTTGGAACAATTATTTCCCTAAGGGATGCATTGATGACTTTTTAAAGAAAAGCCATCAAGGCATCGCCCCCCTGGACAACCAGCCAAGATGCGCAGGGATGAGGGAGCACGTCATCTTCTTCACTTTTCCAAGGATCTTGTCCACGTCATCAGTACTCACCAGCTCGAACTGATCTAGTTTAATCTCAAAAACGGGTTTACTGGACACCTCATCAGTCAATTCTGCTGTAATCCCAGCATCAAAGTCGGCTCTTATCTGAGAGATTTTAACTGCGAAATAGTTGTTAAAAACAGCACAACAGGCTGTTGTCAGGTTAAGTAAAGGGTTCTGCACAGGGCGAACCTGAGTCAGCTCCCTCACCACTCTAAACAGTTCTGTTGGACGGGATTCCGCAGACACAATACATGCAGAGGAAAAAGATTTCCTCACTGCATGTATTGCCTCTTGATAGGAACGAAGAAATTTCCTATGATGAGTTTTGTCAGATAAGAGTCAAGTTTTCCGCCAGGTGCGCTCTAGTCATTGTCCAATCCACTTCAGCTTTCTAAGTTCATCTGTGAACCAGGGTTGATGATTTGGAGCATGTTGGAAAGGAGGCTTGGGAGGGATCATGTCGATAGCCCTGGTAAGATCGATGTTCCAGGTATTAAACAGGGCTTCAACAGAATCGTCGGCATTGCCAACCAAGGAACCTTCCAAGGCTTTCTGGAGTCCAACTGGCTCCATTAGCCTCCGAGGGCGGACCATTCTAATAGGTCCTCCATCCACAGTGGGGTGGACTGTGGCTCTTAGTCCAACCTTGACCAGGAAATGATCCATCCATGACAGTGTGGTGGTATTTATTACCTCCACCCACGGATATGCCTGTTCCGTACTAAAGAACGCATAGAATGTATGACCCACAGAATGCATTGGCCTGTAAACCAATTGGGATAGGTCCATGTCTGTCATGGAATCCATGAACTGTCAAGCCCAACCTGTTAAACTGGTCTCGAGTGAGATGCTTAAGTCACCCAGAATTAAAAGTCTGGGTGACTCCAACAGTAACTCTGAGACCAGCTGTGTCAGCTCTGATAGGGAATCTGTTAAGCAACGGGGTGGACAGTATACCAAAATAATCCCTATACTATCCCTAGTTTTCAGGCTCAGGTACATACATTCGAAGTGGTCTGTTTTCCGGATAGGTATCTGAGATGTTTTACTTGAGAAAACACATCCCGAGGGCACTCTAGGTCCTCCAGTGCAACTCTATGGTCAACATCGGGTAAAAGTTTAACATAGAATGGTCCTGAAGAAACTAAAAATGCCTAGGGAAATATTTTCTCTAGGAATCTCTAGGTCCTCCAGCACAACTCTGTAGTCAACTTTTGCCATAAGTTGACTATAGAGGTGCATTGGATGACCTAGAGATTCCTAGAGAGAACATATTGATAAAATCTGCAAATAATCAAATCCATAAAAGTTGAAGCTGCAAATGTGGGGGAACCACTTTATATACGCCCGTGTGTGTGCATTTCTGTTATCCCACATTATTTCCCAGGAATTCCTGACACCAGCTGCAGTACTTGATTCTCACTCTCAAGTCAGTTTCTTTTTAATTCCAAGACCTATCAGAACAAAAAAGTCTTGTTTTCTCCTTTCTGTCCTTTTTGTTTCTTGAGAGTTATAGTGCCATACTGTATCCGCAAAATGGCACTTTTGTACTATAACCTTATAGAACTCAGAACAACGGATGCAAGCTCCAGGAAAAGAGATTCCATCTAAACTTTAGGAGGAACTTCCTGACAGTGAAAGTTGTTCGACAGTGGAACACACTCCCTCAGAGTGTGGTGGAGTCTCCTTCATTGGAGGTCTTTAAACAGAGGTTTAAACAGAGGCTGGATGGCCATCTGTCGGGGATGCTTTGATTGGGAGTTCCTGCATGGCAGGGGGTTGGACTGGATGGCCCTTGTGGTCTCTTCCAACTCTATGATTCTATGATTCTATGAATTTGGGAAGGGAGGATTAAAAATTCAAACCATGGGACTTTCTCTGCAAACTGTGCCTATTTGTTTTTTAAAAAGCCCTAGTAGTGATTAAAAAAAAATCAAATAGCCCCAAAACAGATTGGAAATAGTAGACACTGAAGTGACAGTAGCTGGCAAAACCTAAGAATCTATATTGTGAGAACTTGGGTTTCTTTAGGACCTATGATCGTCTTACATCCGCTTTCCATTTAACATTCAGACTAGCAATGGAAGTGTTACTGTTTGCTGCCTATCCCCAAATAAATTCTATGCTTTGAATCTGTGGAAATACCCTGTTGACACAACAGATGTGCTAACTGGAGGGAAAATATCTGGATCCCCTATAGAAATAACTGTACATTTATTATGCAAACAAACAGGAAAAATTACCTGGAAAATCCCTGAAATCCTACTCTGTTCTGTGCTAGCCTCTGTGCTATTGAACTATTGCTCCATTTCCATAAAACAGTAAAGCCAGAAGCTATTACGAAAAAAACAACCCTAAAACAGTAAGCTTAATACTTTTTTAAAAAAAACAAGAATTTCTGCTATAAATGAAATAATCTTCCTGAGTTATGAAGATG